TATATATATATATATATAAAAGTATACATTCGAAATATTAATTTTATTAAATTAATGAAGCCTGGATCTTTCAAATACATTACATAATGAAATAAAACTGATTTTAATATTGATATACCTTAATGCTGGAAATATAACGAACGTAGGCTGAAATTTTTGTACTTTATTCAGTACTTCTTCATCCTTGAAAAAAATGTTGCATGTTTCTAGTGCATGTTTGTCAGCAGATACTGACTTATCAATGTTAACATCCAGTTGCAATACTTCCACGTCAATCAGTTTATTGTAAATATTATTAGCAGTGTATGACGGTATTATTAGTGTTGTATCAATTCCTTGATCCGATAAGGTATTGGCCAATAATGACAGATCATATACGCTTTCAAACGCGACTACTAGAGCCGACAGAGGAGGTGCTGTTAGAGTCGAGCTGCTTGCAAACCGGAATGAATAAAAGCATGCATACAAGCCAATTAACGTCAACATTATAATTATGGTTGTGCTCAAAATATTTGTTACAATTTTTGTTTTACTTAGATAAGCAAATAGAACTTAGATGAATAGTAACTCAAAATTCGACTAGATCATTTCAATATTGATATTTCATAAATTGTTTTTTGTACAAAATGGTGTTTTTCTTAGGTCATCAGTGATACAAATAAGCCAGTAAACAAACTTTGCTGACAAGATTGCTGATAAATTAGGTATTACACTCGGTCTGATGTCAAGTAAAGAAATCACAGAATCTAAAAAGAAAGATGCAAACAAAATTATCAAATATGCAGAAGATGTGATAAAGTACATCCAGAGGATATTTTTAACTTTCTTATATCTGTTTCTAATTAAGATTAACTTTAATTCTGGTTCGACTTACTCTCCATTTTTTCTAATTCTTGTTGTTAAAACTAAAAAAAACGATGACATTAAATTAAACCGAGATTAAAGTTAATCCAAATAATTAAAGTTAATGAAAATTGGGCATTAAAAATATAACACAGAGCAATACTTACCTTTTATCACTCTTCAATATCTAAACTGTAGTCTGTATACGCAGACGATACAAATATCTTCATATTAATAATATAATCATCAGTATACGATTCCCAGATCGTGGTGCATCGAATCATCAGATTTAGACTTAAAACCAGAAGTGTCCACGCAATAAATACCGCCGGTTCCTGAGATCGTCTTTTCAAGCACCCCTGTGTGACGTCTCAAGTCAGATCAAACGGAAATGCAAAATTCCGAGATTTTCCAAATGCAATCCGTTTCTAACGCCAATAGGCATGGGCGGAGCACAGGACATAACTGACGACACCGAACGGCGTATGAATAACTCGTACCCGAACGTAGAACGTCCACGAGGCGTCCGCGTGCGACAATAGAGATTTGGGACACCGCGTGGGATTTGGTGGGATTCCGATTTGTTTCGTCAGAATCGTCCTCGAACTGCACCCGGCACCCGGCGTTTCTCGCCGGGAGGCGGGAGAAGTACACATCGACCACGGAGTCTACTGGTATATCTCTCATTATCGCCACCACGTGATAATTGCAATCGCGAATATACTGCGCATGTACCATGTAAACACAGAGTCGCAGAGATGCTACAGTACGTTACAAATGTATTAAGTATCTAAATTTTCGATTGTTTCCATTGCGACAGTCGAGTCGGAGCCGAAAAGGCGAAGCATATGAGTGAAACAGATACATGTTTGATATTTGGCAAAAGCGAGGAAGAAAATTCGAGTGCAGGAATTGGAGATTTCTTCTCTCTGCAGAAATCAACTTAAAACCTATTCTTTTTTGGCAAATAACTGTTCGTTTCACTTCAATTTATTGTGCCACCAATGTCATACATAAAGGTCTGTTCTTTTTAGTTGAACTTCAGTCGTACAGTTCATCTTTTCTTCTTGTTTCTCCAACGTGAAGAGAAAAAGGAGAAAGGTGAACGGTGCAAGTTCAGCTATACTCGTACATCAATTCAAAACTTTCTTTCAGACGAATAAAGGACCTAACAAACCAAGGCGGAGAAGCTTTTCTGAAACCTGAAACGCGATTGGTCACCGCTTTGCCGGTGTCGGATTGATTGGCGCTCCGCTTGATCTTTCGACGAGGGCGAAGCGAGCACTTTTGGAACTACGCGACCAGTGACGTAGGTCTGTTTGCCTTTCTGTGCTACGCGAGTCGCGCAATTTAACCTATTTAACCGTCAAGGTTTGGTTTCTCGACGAGATACGGTTGGAACAGCCACAGATCCGAAATACACGATGGCTACACCTCCGAATACCGGATTGTCCTTCGGTACGCCAAAACCCACGACAGGTACAACGAGCATTCTGAACCGAAGGAAGAATAAAACATCTTCGTACTTCCTTTAGCTCCTTTAGGAGAAATCAAATCCGTATTTTGATGCACGTTGGCTCTTTTTGTGTTACAAGGTCTCACCGGTTTGACTTTCGGCACTCCGACCACTATGGCCACTGGAACCGGCTTTGGCCTCGGCGGTGCTATAACCGCGACAACAACATCCATATCCACTGCGTCGAGTCTACCCAGTTTCACGAATCTTGCGAGCAGTGGGACGCCTATGCCCGCGCCGACGGGGCTTTCGTTCGATGCCACGAAAGTGTCTACAACCCCAGCTACAGGATTTCCCATCGCGACAACTACAATGGGAGGTTTCAATTTTGGTGTCGGAACAGCAAAACCTATGACAGGTTGACTGAATAAGACGTTTTTCTCATATTCTATATATTCTATTAGAAAGACATTACATGTATGTGTTACATTTCTAAGGCTCCACTGGCTTGACTTTCGGTACTCCAACACTAAACACTATGACTACTGGAACTGGCTTCGGTCTTGGAAGTACAGTTGCAACTACAACGTTGGCAACGAGTATACCGAGCTTTAACCTTCCTAGCAGTACAGCACCGACATCTGTAGCACCAGGGCTTTCATTCGATGCCTCGAAAACAGGCCCTACTACAACTTCAAACACTGGATTTTCTCTTGCAGCAACTACTGCAGCAGGATTTAATTTCGGAACATCGACGACTACTTCCACTGGATTTCCTCTGAGCAAAACAACTTCTGCCGTTGTTTCAACGAGTTTAGCAGCACCTGCTACTCATACTTCCTTGGGTACTACCACTACGTAAGTTATAGTTTTGCTTATTACAAAATTCATCTTTAGAATAATTGGTTTATTCTTACTCGTTACTAATGATAAATTCGATTATTTATTATAACAGCTCAACTTTAACTCTCAGCAAAAATCTTTTATTGCAGCGTTAGTTCTGCAACTGGTATTCAACCAGGTGCTATTAATTTCTGTCAACTTGAAGAATCTATCAACAAGTGGACTTTAGAGTTGGAGGAGCAAGAGAAAGTATTTGTGAATCAAGCTACACAAGTTAATGCCTGGGATAAATTGTTGATAACGAACGGGGAGAAAATAGTAACCCTGAATCAAGAAGTTGAAAGAGTGAAAATCGAGCAGCAACAATTGGAGCACGAGCTGGACTATGTCGTAAGTCACATTTGTATTCTTGCAATTTTGTAAGAATACAGTGTTAATACAAATAAAATTAATTATTAAATTTTCCTTGAGTTAAATAATTGAGTTAAAATAATTGTATCATTCAGGTTGGACAACAGAAAGAGCTGCAAGAATGTTTAGTACCATTGGAAAAAGAGCTAGCGTCTCTTTCTGTCTCGGATTCTGATCGAGAATATACGTATCGTTTGTCGGAGAATCTCGATACCCAGTTGAAACGCATGTCAGAAGATCTAAAGGAAATAATAGAACATTTAAATGAAGCAAATCGCGCTCAGGACTCCAGTGATCCTATCGTTCAAATTGGAAAAATTTTAAATGCGCATATGAACAGTTTACAATGGTTGGATCAACAGACGGCTTTGTTGAATCAGAAAATACAACAAATTGATCAGATGCATCAAAGTTTCAGACAAGAGA